GGTTTTTCTTCTTCTCTGCCCTCTCCTCTGCAGAGTGGTTCAACTTATAGTGTTGTGTTGGGGCGAGTGTCGTGTCTTGTGTGGGAGAAAAATTGAATTTTCCCTTCTCGCACACGGGGCGCAATCCCCCTGTGCTCTCGTCACAATTGTCCCCTTGTTAAATTTCCCCCTGCTTGTCCAAAAACGATAAGAGAAAGTTTTGGTTTCCCCCCGCGCAAAATTCGAAATTTTTTTCCAACTAAAAAAATTTTTTATTGTGCTGGGGCGTTTTTAGGCTTATATATCGATTGGGAGGGTCTTATAACCTTTCCCCCCCCCCCCCACCCACCCCCTCGAAGGGCCCCTGCCCTATTAATATGAATGTACCGTAGTGTTCGTGACGACTCACAAAAAAAGTATGCATGTACACATGCATTGTAGGCCTACATAATAATATACTCGAATTATAATTATAATGTGGAACGGATAATACTTAATAATATAATGAATGGATTCACAGTAGTGCCGATATTTAGAAAATATGTTTGATATTTTTTTTAAACAAGCGTGAAAAGTATTCAGTAATTAACTCACCGATAACGAGAATGAGAAAACAGCGAGAGAGGACGGTATGTAGTTTTCAGATGACGAATGAATCTCTGTTTCTGTCAGTTCTGCAAGCAGTGATCATATCATATCATTTGAAATGAAGCTTCGAAATTTTGCGGGGCCTTCTTAAATATGCCTGTTGGCCTAAGCAGGAAGAAGAAGAAAAAAACGTTTATTCTTAGGAATGACATGCTATTGTGGGGGAATTCCCGTTTTCTGCCACAACCCGAGACCACAGAATTCTACACTAAGTGTAGAATTCTGTGCCCGAGACCTAATAATAAGCACGCCTCGCCCTACACGTGGCAAGCTCACGAGGTGGGTTGATCCCATACAGGAAATCATTATTGTGTGTGTGTGGGGGGGGGGGGTTGATTTGTTTTTCATGCGGAAGAAATGACGCACTACGGGGTATTTTCAGGAAAGGGCCGATCGATCTAAGAATTTTTATGTGTGTGTTTTGTGACATGTGCCCGACTGTCTTTCGGAACCTTTAATTTTTCAGTCTTCTGTTTGTGGGCGTTGGCAGGTGCTCTGGCGCGCATTGCTCCTTCTATAAATTTCTATCAACCAGAATTCGTTCTTATCGTTCCTTTTTCTTTTTGTGTTGGTTACGTTTGTGTAACAACGCGGATAACTGATGGGTCCTCTGGGGTGGTTTGCTCCTTCTTCCCTCAAACATACATCTATCGTCCTTATTATCTCCTCCCTTTTTTTTTTTTTCATTTGTTACTCTCTTGTAACGTCTCTGATATGTGGCACTTATATAACATAATATGTGTGTTGCAAGTGCCGTGAAACACTTACTAAAACAATCTTGTAACACCTCTAATCATCGGTATTTTTATATTACCTAGTTGTATTGCAAGTGCCGTAAAACTCTTACTGACAAGAAATACTAATCTTCTGCTGCTCCATCCCAGCCCTTTTACAGTCGTCCCCTTATACAAAAAAGAAAATTGCTCTTCACCTCTATTGCACTGACACAACCAGTGCGCGCACGCATGCACACACACACACACACACACACACACACACACACACACACACACACACACACACACACACACACACACACAAACACCCACACACACAGATACGTATGTATGTATGTGTGTTTGTATGTATATATATATATGCAGATAGATAGA